CGAATCGCACACTCCGACTCCATCCCCTGCTGACCCCAGAATGCAGCCGGCAGGATATCTATGTAGCACCCGGAGTTCGAACCAAACCTGTGCGCAGTTGCATTATCATTTCTAAGCTTGTGAGGGATGTGCTGGCCAGCAACCAGGACAAAGGTAGTGAGGATCCCTTTGAGAGAATTTTTGGTTCAGTCGAGTGCACCAGTGAGCCCCCGGGTAACCTGACTTTTGCCAAAGCCCATGTACGGATCTCACCGAATGTAAGACCCCCCGTGGAGTACTTGGTGAAGTGCAGGCTTCGCGACTGTGAATGGAGTTTCAAAATAAAGTCATTGGAGGAACGTGAGTGCTGCACTGTCCGTCTTAGGTTTTTTATTCTTATATCAAATCGTTATATGGAAAACAGCACCGCCCTCTTGTCGGTATGTACTGTTGTAAATTGCAGCGGGTACAAATAACGAATGAGGTAAACTCAAACTGCGGAAAATGATATCGGAGCATTTGCACGAAATAATTTGTGGAAGATTTACTCCTCTTGTTAATTTCTTCCAATGATAAACCTGTTTCAGCATACGCATTTTCGGTCGGTCTTAGTAAAAGATTGCCCAGTAAAATCACTACGATTTTTACGTCCCTAGAGTCGAATCTTATGAACTTAAATATACAAGAGCTAAAGCTGAGAGCTTTCCCTCAGGGCCGGCCTGCTTTCTGCGCCTCGATCTTTTTAACTTAAACCGATAGCCCGATACGTAGTAATAATTCGCGTTTCTTTGCTTCTCCTTTCATAACGTCCAAGCAAAATAGAATTCCTATGGAGCTGGTACCATATACTGCACAGTTACTCATATAATAAAACTCCCACACACAAACGTATATGCGTGAAGATTCTAGGTCCAGATATCGTGCGCACTGATCATCTCTCGGAGAAGAAAAGTGATGGAAGGCCATTTCTTGAACCAGACTGCATTCATACTGGCGTTTTGGAAACGCTCTTGTTTCCACCATCCGAATCCTGTTCTCACTGTACATGCCGTCCTCGGTGTATTCAGTTACATCGCCTGCCTCCTTTTGTAAACTTGCTCAATGCACGTTTCTTGCTTACCTGTTGGCCCAGCTAGTCAGTGTAGATTTAAATGTCAAACGAGTAAATCACTAGCATCATTATATTTTAATAATAAGTAAGTAAGTGTCTGACCATCGGTTTCGATGATATCAACCAAGTGCACC